TAGAATCTCCTGTTTTTAAGAACGGGTTAGACAAACACCAGTTAGGGATGGAATATTTTTAGTTGATCCTGCCTCAAAGCAGGGGGCTGGACTTGATGACCTCTTAAGGTTCCTTCCAGCCCTACATTTCTATGAGTCTATGTTTTGTCAGACTATGGAACTGTCTCCCAAAATCCATTGCTAGACCTATTCATAGGAAGATTGAACAAAATTTTTAGACAGTAAGAAACAGTTTTTCTTTTCTCGAGAGTGGAACATGGGGACCTATTACAGTAGAACCTCAAAGATATGACCACCAGAGTTATGGACTGATTGGTCAACCAGACACCATGTGAAACCGGAAGTAACCAATCAGGCAGCATCGGAGGAAAAAAAAAAAGCAAATAATGTACTGTGCCTATATTGCATCTTAATGGGGTAGGCACCTCTGGGCTGCCTGTCCCCAGCCCTACCCCCACGCATGGGGCACCCACTTAGAGCTAGGAAATGAAGACGCTCAGATTAATAGGCAAAGCTGTGAGCCCCCACTGTCAGCCCAAGGCAGAAGGAGCAGGAGCTGCACTGGGGTCTGTGCTGCTTTCCTGTAAGCCGTGTGTGCTGTTTTCACACACCCCCAGCCGGGAGGGGGACGGCTGTTTTTAACCCCACCTCCCCTCCCCCCCCACTGGCCAGGAGGGGGGCACAAGGTTGCCTGGGATGGGGAAAGAAGCTGCCTGCAAGAAAGCTGCCAAGCTGCCTCTAGACCCTGGCCCCGAGTGTGAACTGCTGGAGCCAGAGCTGCATTTTCTTCAGAGTTATGAACATTTCAGAGTTACGGACAACCCCCATTCCCAACTCTACTGTAGTTCTTTGCTCCAATTTCTGTGATAGAACATATTAGCAGAGCTGACTAGAAAGCAGATTTTCCCTTCTATCAGAAATTTGTTATTTTGATGTTTTGTTGTCATCTCAAATTGGGATAAAAATGTGAAATACTGAAACTTTGAGTAATGAAAAATTCCAAAAATATTCCATTAAAAATAGTGAGATGATTCATTTTGACACTTTGGATTGAAACAAAGCATTTAGACATTCCTGAATCAAAATGTTTCATTGTGAGCCAAATGTTTATTTTTGGGTTGGGTTGATGTTAATCTTTGTGTCTGCCTGTCCACCACAATATTTCATGAGAGTTATAATTCCCGGTCACTCATGCCACCACTCTTACTTTTGGGGTTGGTTTCTGGCTATAATACGTCTTCCATGATGCACTGCTGTTGTCCGTGAGGCTTAGCTGCTGAAGTGCAAGATAGGACTTTCTTTATTTCTTTTTCAAAAAAAGGGGGGAGAGGATAAAACAGTTTTGATCAGCTCTACTTATGCATATTTGCTCTGACATTATCTATTTTCAGGGATCCCGCCATAACCTCTTAGGTCAAAAGGACATTATGCCTCTGTGCTGGCAATCTCAAAGAAGTGGAACTCACTTTTCTTGAAATCCATCTCAGCCCATCCCTTCCCTCTGTTTTTTGTTTTTTGTTTTTATAAACACCTGAAAATTCTTTTGTTTCCTTTTACAAAGGTGTTTCTTATGACGACTCTTGCCCCATATTTGCAGCCTAATGGGAGTTTTGCACTAGTTAGAAGTCTAAGTTTTCAAGGACTACAGGACAGGGTCCTGATAGATTTTGTAACTCATCAGACTTTTCCTTGCAAACTGTTATGCTAAAACAGCTGATACTTTGAGATATCTGGGGTTTGGGACTGAAATAGGTTGACACAAATCCTACTGGGCTCTGAGTAGAGTTTGTGGCATAGATGTCCTAAGTTAGGGAATTTTTATTATCAGGAATTCCCTAAAACTCCAGGGCCAACAGTTACCAACTAATTCATTGATAGGAACCTAACAAGAATGTTTATCCCCTCAGAAAATTTAAAGTCCATCAAGTGCATTAGATTACTTCCTAAAATGGCCGAAGTAGCAATATTAAAAGGCAATATGGGGGAATCTGAATTATCTAGGAAATCTTCTCCTCAAACTGTAGCTTGCCAATGCCTCCAGTCCAAATCATATTCAAAATAAAATGGAGGTGGCCATTAGCAAACACGGTGGCATTTCAAGGGTTTCAGAAGCAATTTTATTTATCAGCAGTGAAGTACAGAGACAGTAGGAAGAGCTATACAAATTCTTATTAACTTATCACAGTACTTAACTTTGCACAACATGAATAATTCCACCAGGGCTGTTAAAACAAAGACTGAGGATAAAGATCCTAGTTACCTGATCTGGAGAGATGAAGGGAGAGAGATACAGTGGGATGGAGGCTGAGGGAATGCAAGAGTCAGAAAAAAGAAAATCAAAGGAAAAGCCTGTGCAAATGGAACAAAAAGAAACAGAGGCAGACTGAAAAGTAGGAGGCAAAAGGATATTAAGATGCAAAATATGATACCAGAGAAGTATGCAACTGAATCTCTATTGTATTGTGATGAAAAACGTCCTCATTCATACCCTAATCCAGGAAAGTACTTTGGGCATTTGAAGTCAGTGGCAAAACTCTCATGGTCTTCACTTGTTCAGGATCAAGACCTTACGGAGGTGCTTAAAGTTAAGCACCTGCCTCAGTGCTTTCCTGGATAAGGATAAGCTCAAGCATGTGATTTCCTGAATTAGGGCTTGAAAGTGCATTATAAGGTGCAAAAACAACTGAAACAAAGTGTTTGGGTGTGAAATCACAAGTCCTGTGTAGGAGGGAGGTAAAATGGGAACTCTGGTATTTAATGTAAATCAGTGAAAATGCCAGAAGCAGCAACACGTTAGTACTCAAGATGGAGCAGAGACCCTGGCAAAGGGTGACCAGGTTTTTATGGAAGAAAACAAGTATACTTCTCTCAACATTGTCATCATGTCAGCGCATTTTCCCTAAGTAGCATGCAGTATCAGTAGGGTCTTTCTTTCCCCTTTTCTCCCAGGGTTCCATGTTCTTTCACTAGTTTGACAGCATTGTGTTGGAGTACTTTTCCAAGATTATTAGAAGTGTTGAAAATAGGGACAAATTTTATTCTGTAATTAATAAAAACATTTGAAAAAAACATCTGGCTATTAGAATGCAAGATTATTTGAAGTAATTTTTAAGTGGAACATCTATATGCTGTTTTCTTAAATTATCCTGTAGCTTATCATGTATTGTCTTGGGACCTTTGATGCTGTGAATATTGACCTATACATGCTATACAAATTGAAGAGGTCTCTGGTCTGTAGGACTGGCATGGAGACAGTGGCATGACCGGACAGAACAGTGTGTTGGGGTCCTTCACAAAATAGGGAAAATACAAGATGTGAAAATGGTAAGGATAATGGCTCAATATGCAACAATTTAGTACCATACCAATATGTGATTTTAATCACAAAATGCCTGGCCTGATTCTCCTCTCATTTATACCTGTTACTCCCTTGACTTCAGTGGATGGAGAATCAGGCCTGCGCTATTTAATTAAAGCAAAGCATAACGTGACTAGGTTCTGAAATGCAAGATTAAATGTCTCCCCTGAGGTCAATAGCTTAATGTCAAAAATGTCAGACATTCAATAAAGTTTACTTTAAAGATCCAGATTAAATCTAGGCATAAGTGCTGGAACTGGGGGTGCTAGGGTGCTGCCGCACTCCCTGGTTTGAAGTGGTTTCCATCATTTACAGGGTTTACAATTTGGGTCAATGGCTCTCAGCACACTCCCCACCCCCCATACAAATTGTTCCAGCACCTCTGGATCTAGACCTAGATCTAAAAATCATAAGTTAAATTAAACCAAAATGATGGGGGGGGGAGGGGAGTTTGTCACAACAACCCTGGATGGCTATAGTTTGTTGAAAACCTATGCAGCACCATCAACACTGGAATATTTTGGGTTTGTTAAAATTAACCTTATTTTCTAACCAGTAATTAGTGCCATTATTACCCACAATGCTTTGCATTCTATTCTTGCTTGCAGTGGCTATGCAAAACTTTTGATTCTGATTAGATCTGAAGTAATGCTCAGGGCTGTCATTCCAGTGTATCTGCAGACTTCTGAACAGGAAAAATAAATGATCAAATGCCCATCTTAACATTGACTGATATTGCCTCAGATTATTAACTATAATTTAGCATGTGCCAAAATTAGAATAAGTGATATTGGATCAATTTTCTCCTCATCTCTCAAAATGACAGAATCCTATGTATAAAATGTCCAGAGAAAGATTATATAAATGAGGTCTTTTTTTTTTTTTTTTTTAGACAAGTCTGCTAAAGCTATATCTATTTCCCTGGAACGAGTACCTTTAAATATAATGTTGTAGAAACAAGTGTGTCTTTGTGAAATTAAATATTATGGCAAAAATAGAGTAGAAACAGAGTTGGGTGAACTATTTATTAAACAAATTTTGCTCTTTTACTTTTCAAATTGTTTGTGAATACACTTTGATTAAAATGAATGAGCACATTTGAAATTATTCAGTGCTTTCATGTAGACATGTTTAACCCTATGGTCTGCTCATAAACTGTATTCACCCTGTTTTTCTTGTTATCTGTTTTTATTGCTGTGACATCAACATGATGTGGTATTTTTTTCTGTTTCTAGAGTGGGTGAGTGTAACTATAACAAAGGGAGGAAATGGGCAAGGGTGCCAGGTTTGTATAATTTTTGGTGGTGCCCAGAACAGGCAGAACCGTCCTGTCCATAGGATGGACTGGGGCAACCACCCCGGGCCCCACGCTTCAGGAGGATGCGGGGTCCAGGGAAGCCTGGGGGGATTAACGGGGGACCTGGCGCTGGCAGCAGCGAGCGACCTGGCCCCAGCCTGCCCATCCCATTCCACTCTTTTCCCCAAGCCCCCACCCCCACCCCTTTTCAGCTTCCATCCCCTCCCCTGGGCGACGCCAGGGGTTGGGCAGGGTGGAGCAGAGCGGGCTGGGTCTGGGTCGCTCACTGCTGCTGGCACCAGGCCTCCTGCTAACCCCCCAGGCCGCCCTGGACCCTGTGTCCCCCTGAAGTGTGGGGCCCCCCAAAGTGCGGTAAGCCCAAACATTGGTGGAGCCTGGCCCACGTTCCTAAATATTGGTGGACACCACGGACACCACGGGCCCATATAACTCGCTGCCTATGGTAATGGGTAGTGTAGTTACTTGGCCTTTGAATCTCACAGGGAGAAGGTAGGAGTAGCTTCTGGAGTCAGGAGTAGCTAAACTAGTGGAATTAAGGAATTTGGGAGATATTTTCTCTTTTTTTTTCCTTTCTGTGCCAATTTAATCAGCTCTTGCTTAACATCACTGCTAGAAAAAATTGTAATACTGTAGGCTGAGATCATACATTAAATTAATCTTCCCTTGTCATAGTCACACGAAATAAGTGTGTGTAGATTGTATGTGCACAGTCCAGCTTTGAAAAGCGTTCTTGTCAGGGCTCAGGGCTGGTCCAAATTAAAAAGATACTGACACATACTCTTGTCTATAACTGCATATTTGTGCCAAGACTCCGGCTTGTGATTTTGTGAAGAGTGGTGCATTGCTGCGGCTAAAGGAGAGGAGATCTATGTCAAAAGGGATAATTAAGTAAAACAGAAGGTCTTAATTAAAAATGATGCTAGCCATTTGGTTTGTGACTTATGAATTTTACAAAATGTATTTCAACGCATACAGTGTTCAGTAAAAAAGGAGCACCTCTTCTTTGCTCTAGTCCAGTGGTTTTCAGTCTGTGGTCCGCAGACCCCCGTGGGTCCTGTTAAAAATTAAATGGAAAGCAATCCTTAAAAGAGCAAAAAATCAAAATGAAGACAAGAAGAATCCCATCAAACACCAGCCTTATGAGGAATGATTGAGGTTGCCCTTGCATAACTGGACAGAAGGAGCATGCAAGAAGCCACCAATTCCTCCTGTGTTGACGGGCATTAGGTCTTCCTCCATATCAGTCCACTTGTTCTGGAAAGCACAGAGATTTCTCGTTCCCTGCTCTCCCCTTGGAGCAAATCATTTGAAATGGAGATAGGTCATGGTGCACCAAGGGGGAGCAATCTGTGCTATGCTAATGGATGGAGACAAGTGCAATACTCCCATGGGTACTGAACAGCCCTAGGAGAAGTTCGGTTTGCCTGAGGTGCAGGTGCTTTTCCTGGGATGGTGCATCTTCACGCCACTTCTCACACTATCTAACCTTTATTGAAGAGACTCTTGATCTAAAGCACAGGTCTTTAATAATCATATAATCCATGATTATATGGGGGGGGGATGTGAGTCCTAACAGACCTCCATTTATCAGTTTGTTTTGAAGCCACTTTCCAATGTTTTTTCTGTGTCGACAATCTGAAATGTGGAGCTAAAGACTAGTTTATCCTGCATCAGTGTCATCTGTCTCTGACTTTACGTTTTTAAGCGGTTGTAAACATTTAAATAACAAAAAAGAGAGTATCTCTTTAAAAGAAGCCTTAATCCAGAGAAAAGAGCACATGCCCCTGCTGGCACAGTTAATGGGGTCATTTATTGCCATGGCTTGTTGCATTATTGCAGTTGACAAGAATGATGAGTGGAACAAGAAATGCAGTATTTGATAACTATTTTTAGAGGAGTTTAGTGGGGCGGCTGCCCCACTCTGATAGGCAGGGGTTAAAAGCAGCCAAGCTAGGCTGATTGGGGAAGCAGACACAGCTGTGGCCAGCTCAATCAGGGCCGCAGCTGGCCCTATAAAAGGGCTGCGAGCCAGGAGCTCAGCTTTGGAGAGAGGAGGACCTGGCTGCCTGGGAGAGAAGGGTACCTGAAGTAGAGCAGTGCTAGGGAAAGGGAAGAGGAGCTCCAGCCTGGCAAATCCCCAGATTGTGGGCCTCGCTAAAGGCCAAAGCAGGTACTGGGACTACAGAGGTGTAGCCTGGGGATAGTCAGAGGCAGCTGGTCCTATCCCCTTGCCAGTGATAAGCAACCATTACATATTGCAGTCTGCCCCAGTGAGAGGGGGCTAGATGATGACTGGCAGTAGCCACTGAGGCAAGGTGGGTTTAGAGGGTTGGGGGTTCCCCTAGGAAGGGAGACCCAGAGTGTGCAGAGTGCTCTGAGCAGAACCCTGAGGTAAAGGGCAGGGACATGGGGGCCGGCAGCAGGCGAGACACCGACTAGCAGAGGGTGCTCTGTATGCTGGAGAGCTAATTCCCAAGATGACCAGCAGGAGGCACCGCGCCAGTGAGTCTTTGACCTTGCTACAAGGAGTCTTTTACATAAACAATTCTTACAGAATATAAAACATGTAAACAGACACTAAGCATGATCATTTACATACCTAATTCACCTTCTGAGAAAGCTGTCTTCTTCCTTGGATCTTTGTTTCATTTTTATTCACCAAAGTGAAGCTGGAGATGTGTCTCACTTTTGAGCATTTTATTTTGTGCTGCTCTTTAATCAAGTATGGTATTGCTGTTGGGAGCAGATTCCTCTCCTTTTGTACTGATTAACAGAGATGCATTTGTTTCATTTAACGTCTGGAGCAAAGCAGCTGACCTCTTTGGTTCTCACCTCTTGGGCTCTTTGAATGCTACTGCAGGCCAAAGTTTCACCACAGAGAACTCAAGGGAAAATCAAACAAGGGAGGATGTTGACAATATCTCCTCAACACTTTCACTTTCTGCTGTCTATGAAGAAGTACAGGATGAACAGAGGAAGGAGGTCCTGGGGCTAGGGTGACAGCCTGAGAAATGGGGTTCAATTCCCTGCTCCTTCCCAAGTCACATAGGGCCAGATTTTTTTAAAGGTATTTAGGCACCTAAAGATGCAGATAGGTGCCACGGGGATTTTCAAAAGCCCCTAAACCAATTAGGTGCCTAACTTCCATATATTTCAAAGGGAGCTGGGTACCTAACCTGATTAGGTGCTTTTAAAAATCCCACTAGGCACCTATCTGCATCATTAGGTGCCTAAATACCTTTAAAAAATCTGGCCTTTAGTCTCTTTGTCTCTCAGTTCCCCATTTGTAAAGTGAAGCACTTCCCTACCTTTCAAGGGTGTTGGGAGGATAAATACATTAAAATTTTGTGAGGTGCTTGGGGACAATGGTGATATGGGGCATATAAGTACCTTAGATAGATAAATAGACATTGCAGAAGCTCTGCTACTTTAGGATAACATACAGCAGATGTTCTTAGTCTCAGCGAGGGGACACTTGATATGGAAGTTATGCTGCATCTCTGGCCTTAGTGTCAGGGTCATGTGATGAATCATGTATCATAACACATACGCACTGGGGGAGGGGAATTAAGGTTGTACGGACTAACTTAATTCTGGCATTTCCTATCGTTTGAACGCTTACTGACACCCACATGGGTCATCAACAGGACTGGAACTTTTTTGGACCACTGCTCCTACTTCTGCCACTTGAGCTAACAGAGAAACTGATATCAATAATAGGTTGTCAACCTCCCTGTGGATTGTCACCTCACTATATGGTGATGAGGCGTGCACTTTGCCAGGGGGGTTCACAGATGTTTGCTGACAGCAGAGGAATGGTGAGACTCAGGAAACTGAAGTGCCATTCTCTAGTGGGCACAGACTCTTCTGCCTGCTTACCCAAGCTTGTCTCCTCCAACTACCTGTCCCTCCCCCAGTCTTGTATCTTCCCTACCCTGGCTCCTTTCCCTAGTCCCATTCTTCTTGTCCATCCAGTCCCAGTCCTCAGCCTCCTGCCCCAGTCAGTCCTAGTTACCTACTTCCTCATCCAATCCGTCTCTCTCTCACCCCCTCCTACTAGCTCCCAATCCCAGTCTCCCCCTGGGCTCATCATCCAATATCTGTCTCCCCTCCCTGGGTCCTTGTCCCAGCCTCTTTGCCCAGCTAGTTCCAGTTCCCTGAACCCCAGCTCCTTGTCAGACCTGTGTCTCCTCCCATCCTATCCTAGCTCCTTGTCCGATCTCAGAGTACCCCTAGCCAACTGGCTCCACTTCACACTCCCCAATTTCCCTCCCTGATTCCCAGTCCCAGTCTCCAACCTCCAACTCCCAATAACAATTTCTCCTCTCTCTCAGTTCAGCTTACCAGTCTCTTTGTCCTAAACTACTACTTTCCCTCCCGTGGTCCAGCTTTTGTTCTCTGCATTCAACTCAGATGACTTCCTCCTCTGCCTGGGTGCCAGCAGGGGGTTGGGGGCTTTGAGAGCAAAGGAGAGACAGGCTCCCTGCTGTCAGGTTCAGTGCCCAGCTCTGCCTGAAGCAGCCATTACAGGGAAAGTTCTTCTGAGCCTTCTTATATCTTATCCCTGGTCTGCAGAATGCTCAGTCACTCTGTGGGGATGGTGCCTGCGCAGTCTGGGCAGCACTAGGAACTGTGAGGGGATGAAGTACGCTCAGAAAGGAGACACTCTTTGGAGATTTTTAGCTCTGAAACTCGAACACGTCTGTAGTGAACATGTGAGAATGGCAATTTTTCAAAGATTTATAATTTGGCCAAATGTGGGTGGATTTTCACAGATATGGCAAAATGAAGATCCTGGATGCACAGGCCACCAAATGCAAGTGCACACTCAAGCATGTGGGTAGTGGAGCATCTAAAATAAAGGTTTCAAGAATTTTGTGTAGGGAAAAATGTACTTTCCCTGGCCTTATTCTTGGAAATGGCTGAACCATTTTGGCTGAAATTTTCCAAAGTCACCCTGAGGCATTGAGCCAGCATAGGAAATTTCAGACGAAACAGTTAAAATTTGGCAAAGTTATAAGTGACTGAAAACAGTGTCTTTTAATAGGAAGTGTCAGGCGACCTTAATAATAATCAGAACTTCTGTCTGGGGATCTACATGTGCTTTACAAACATTATTAATTATAATCATAGCACCCTTTATCCTATAACTTCAATGTTTTCAGATGGGAAAACGGAGACGCAGAGAATGTAAGAGATTTGTCCAAGGTTACACACAAAGTCTGTGGCAGAGTCGGGAATTATTACCCAGGTCTCCTGATCCTGAGTGACGATCTCTAAGCCCAAATACATCCCACTGAAGTACAGGAATGAAATACAAGAATTGTAAAATAGGTACAGAAGGGAAATAATTTATGGACTATAACAGATGGTTCATTAAAAAAAATCCTAATGGAATTAGACTGGCAATTTTTAGCAGGTCTAAAAGTTTCCAGAAGTTACTAAACGTATGTCCATAACTTATAACAGAATGTCCTGGACATTTAAACATATCTCCACTATCATATAGCTAATACCATATGTTATATATGAGCTGAGTGCCATTATAATTCATTACTAATAGGTTTAATATTTTACAATGTATGTGTAAGCGGTGGAATTGTCCCACTATTGTGGGGAACTTTCCAGGCTTATACACTACCCCAGTGAAATGGGCTAATGAAAGGATCTGAGTCCTCGCTCCCACTTCCTTTACCCAGATGCCTGCCTGACCTCAAGGGCTCCCCTTGCACTCTCCTGTGGGGCAGAGTCCTCGTAACCCCAACAAGGCTGGGCCCAGGATTCCTGGGAGGCTCGACCCCCAACCTTGTCATGGTCACTTAGGGCAGGGACTAGGGTGTCCCCACTCCGGGGTGCTCTCTCTGCATTAGATGCTTCCCTGACCCACTGATCATTACATATAGTTCAAAGCAAATAGAATGTATTAAACAACCAATTTAAAAAAAATAAGGAAAAAATGGGAAAGGTTAAAGGAAAACACGTCACCCCACTCTGTGGCACAGGGACATAACAACCAGCGTCTCTGGCATGTAGGGGAAGTTCAGTCTGTTCCTCTTCGGTGAGTCCCAGGCATCCTGCCCAGGCCCGGGCTGTGCTGCAGGGATGCTGCAGTTGGGCACTTGCTCAGGCGGTGGCCACACGCTCTCAGGCTCTAGGTGGCAGGAGCCTTCTCCCCAGCGTTGCCCCTGCCCCGTCGGGGTTACGATCCCCCTCCAAGTGTGGCCTGCAAGGCCTCTTGGCTGGGGGCGTCTCCCTGCGCTGGGCCTGCTGCCCAGGGTCCCCCTCGCACTCCCCAGCTACTCACCGCACCCAGCTCTGGACTGCTCCAGTTCCACTCTGCCACTGCTCCAGCTCCAGCTCTCTGCCTCAGCACGGCTGCTGCTGCTTCTCTGCCTCCAGCTCCCTGGGCTGCTTCTCTGGCCCCTCTGGCTCTGGTTGCTGCAGCTCCCCTCCCAGCACAGGTCTGCTCTGTGGGCTGCTTCCGTGACTCTGCTCCCAGCTCTGACCTGCTTCCTGGGCTGCTTTTCTGGCCCCTCTAGATCTGGCACAGCTCTGCTCCCCCGCTCAGCTTGGGCCCCTGTTTTCTACTTAGCTGGGCCGCTTCTGTCTGACCCAGGCAATTCCAGCTCACGTGGAGTCCCCACCCCCATCCCCAGGCCTGGTGATACCCTGATTAGCCTGCCTGCCCTGTCAATCAGGCTGACGTGGAGCATTGGTCTCTCCCCATTGCCCCTGGGGACTGTCAGTCTCAGGGTCCTGATTTCCCATCGACCTTTCCCCTTTCTTTTGGTGCTGGGAGCTAGCCAACCAAAACACTTCCACAGAGTTTTAGTATGTGGACAACAGTCCCCTTATATATGTACATAGGCCAAAATATTGGCGCAAAGTGCCTGGAGTCACTGAATGGGTAAACTTGTTTATCTGCTTGCCCCCTGCATGCTAAATAAAGTCTGTCTTGTTGGAGACTGAGCTTATCTGGGAGCTGATAGAAAGAAATTCATAGCTGGCTACCCTGCTATGCTGATCGCATTCACTCTTCTTACTGTCTTCCTTATATTTAATAAAGATTAAGCATCTTACTAAGGAGCTGCTTTGTGCTGCGTCAATACTGGATGGATGTTTGAGTTACTGTGACAACACTACCACTTACAACCAGGAAGTTGTTGAAGTATGCATAAATCGTCATCCAAATCAAACTAACACAGTAATTGAATGTGTGACAGAACGATAAATGTGATGGTTCCTATCCAATAAGAGTTACATTTTGGATGGGGGTATATGAAGTAATATAGAAAACTCTAGACATGGAATTTGAATAAAATCATTTTTTTTATGTTCTGGGCCAACTTCTGTTTACTTTAAGCTCCATTAAATAAAACATCTCTTTAAAGTACTTGTGGGGGAACCTTCATTTTACAGTAGCTAAGCTTGATTGCTCCACGTGCTACTTTTTGGAGACAAAATGCATAAGAGGTCAGCATAGTGGAAGAAATTACTCCTTCTCTGTTGGCTACCAGCTGTGGACTTGCTGTTTCATCAGGCCAGAAAGACACGGGAGAGGTAGTTTATGGCAGAAAGGTGTGCATTTGTCTAGGTGGTGTTTTGGTGCAATAAACTTGGGGCTAAGTGGGAAACTTGTTTTATAAATTGTAGCTATGTGCAACAAGTGTCAAGGGACTGATCCTAAAACTCCTGAGCTCACTGGAAAGCCATGCAATGACTTCAGTAGGCTTTGGATCAGACCACAATGTCAGATCAACCAGCCAAATCCAACATTCCTTACTCACGATGGGGGAAATGGAATTTTGCCTTAGGAGTAAGTCCTGAAGAAACCATGCAGAATGTGGTCCTGGCTGTAAGTACTTCAGTTCTCAGAGTGTGGTGCATTGAGGTTTGCACCTATTTCATTCTGCATATTTTTCAGAGAGCAGATAAACAAAACCAGAGGAATATTTCTAAACCATAAGCAGTGTGGTTTAGTGGATAGAACTCTGGACAGGATGCAGGAGACCTGACTTCGATTCCTGGCTATGGCCTGCTGGCTGATCTTGGACAAGTCACTTTCCCCATTTGTAAAATGAGGATAACGATACTGACCTCCTTTGCAAAGCACTTTGAGCTCTACAGATGAAAAGTGTTGTGTAAGAACTTGTTGTTATTGTGTGCTCTTTTTCAGGCAAAAATCCCATTTCATTTCAGGGTCGGGACCATTGTTCACACAGTAATAAAGTCTGCAGTAGTTTCCTAGATTGCTTTACTTTTCATTACAAAAGTGTCTATTGTGGCATTAAATAAGAATAATTAGCGATTGTTTTATTTTTAAAGCACCCTCGCTCTGCTTGATGTGTAATATAACAAAAAATAAAATACAATAGTGTGCACTGAAATGTTATATTAAAATTAAAACTAAAACAAAGCCAAACATACTAAAGCTATCCTTGAAAAATTAAGATTTGATCCAAAGCCCATTGAAGTCAATGAGAATCTTTCCACTGAGTTCTATGCGTTTTGAATCAGGACCTTGAGAAGGTGTATGACACACAAAAAGAGTAATTAATATATGGGCTCAATAGTGGACATTCAAGAAACAATTTAGTGGGCAAAATCCCACTTCCCTAAATGTAGGGGAGGAGGGGCTGAAATACTTGTCAATAGGGAAATAAGTTTCATGGTTTATCATCATTGCAATAAAAGAGCAAGTGACTGTGAACCTAAGAAAACTCCTGAAAGATATGTGGTGTCAGAGTGCAATTGTTCATCGGGAAGAGGCTCAAGAAGGAGGTCTCTGATGCCACCAAGATCTTCACCGTTAAGAGTTTTAAATCTCAACATTGTCATAGAGCTTAGGGCCAGAAAGGACCACCAGATCACCTAGTCTGAGCTCCTGCACATCACATGCCACTGAATACCATCCAGTTACTCCTCTATGGAGCCCAATAACCCCGATGAAACTAAAGTATTACAGTCCAATAGTTTACAGTATAAACCAGCATTTCTCAAATGCAGCCATCGTGGTCGCAAGCGGTCACCAGGGGCTTTTCTTGCAGCCACAGCCTCCTGGGCTGTAATGGGGGGGGGGGGAGCAGCAGGGGCCCCTCTTCCAGGACCACCAGTGGGGCTTGGACCCCGCCCGGCTCTAGAGACACAAATGCTGGAGGTGCATGCACCTGGTGAATTCCCCGTGGGGGGGGTAAGGCAGGAGGCTTAGGCCATGGGGCTTCGGGCTCCATCCACACAATAGCAGGCTCTTGTTCCAAGCTCACCACCCATGCCATCATCCCTGGGCCCCGCGGCCTCCCTGCCCACCTGCCCATCCAGGGCTTAATTTGTCCCAAAGTTTGTTGGGGCTGAGTAAGTTTGCTGTGAAAAGTGATATTAACAAACATACAAATATCTCTCTTCACAGCAGCAGACTTACTATCTAGCAAGTTTTTTTTTTAAAGCAACCAAAAAAGCAAAAGAAACAACAACAAAAAGACAAGAACATGCAAAGCACCCAATTTGTGTTTCTATTCTGTTTAGGTCCAGTAAAGAATAGAGACCACTGTACATTATTTTTATTACTGAGTCTGAAAAAACCCTACATAAATAAATTACAATGATTTGGAGATGTATATGTGCATATTTATTTGTTTTTCCTAAAGTTAATTAAGTATTTTAGAAAAAATTGTCAGCACGGCCACCAGCAAGAGAATAGGAAGGACTGAGATTCACCAATACTTGAGGCCCCCGCAATGACAGGGAATTGATTTGGTGAGATATACCCAGGTGGTCCTAGCAAGCACCCACATCTCATGCTGCAGAGGAAGGCAATAAAATCCCAGGTCCCTGCCAATCTGACCTAAGAGGAATTCCTCCCTATCCCTAAAAATGGTGATCAATATGTCCCTGTGCATGTGACCAAGACCCACCAGACAAATATCTGAGAGAGAGAATTCTCTGAACTGCCTCACAGCACCGGTACCTCCATCTGATGTTCCATCTCCAGCCATAGCCGTCTGTGATCCTACAGAAGAAGGAGAAAAAAAACAGAAACATTCCAGAATACCCTGGGGTGGTGTGGGGGAAGAGAATTCTTTCCTGATCTCTATAGGCAACCAGCGAAAGTCCTGAAGCCTGAGATTTAGAAACAGGACTGGAAAGGACTCCCTAGGCCCCTAAGCCTAGCCCATGCCCACCACCACCACCACTTCAGGCAACTTCATCATACAGTCCACCTCATAAATTTAGCGGGCTGTAACTTAAAACTAATCAATCTCTTTGCCACCAGTATTCCTATTGGGAGGCTGTTCAAGAGCTTTACTCCTTTGACGGTTAGAAATCTTCTAATTTTCACACTAAATATATCCATGACCAGTTTATACCCATTTGTTCTTGTACCAACACTGTCTTTTAACTTGCATAGCTCTTTCACCTCCCTGGTGTTTACCCCCCTGAGGAGCAATCTTATCCCCTCTGAGCCTTCTTTTTACTAGGTCAAACAAGCCAAGATGTTTTATCCTTTTTAAAAAATAACTTTAAATCAATTCACCAATTTATAGGGAGATAATGCCTAAATAAAATACAGGACTGCCATAATATGATCATATGAGGTCAAACCAGTAAACAAATGTGCTGCTGCATTCCAGGCAGTGAAAATAACACTCCTGGTTATTCTGCTATATGGGAATTCCAATAATCAAGTCTAATTGTGATGAAGTTTTGTGTTTCTGTACAGGGCCAACACCAAACATTTGGATGCTTAATGCATGGTGTGGTGGGGTGAATTGCTGGGGGATGCTTCAAAAATATGACTTAAGAAGGATTTAATGGTGCAGACACGTGGAGCTGGCCTGCTACACGGGAGAGAATTTAATCATCTGTGAGTATTGAGTGTTTTTTGGGGAGGGGAGGGGGGAGTTGAATGGCATTTGTCCAGCTCCTAGTCATAAAGCCATTCTGGCTTGTGTATATACACACACAATGAGCGGGTAAGCAATCGACAAGCTACTCAGACTTCCCACCATTATCCATCCCACCTCTAAAAATTATATCTGAATTAAACTTAACACTAACATTGATAATACAATGTATACCTATAGTGTTAAGTAACAAACAAAAAGAAGGGAAGGAAACTGAGAATAATGGCCTCAAACATCTCAGCATTTCATAGCAGAGACAATACTTCCTAGAGAAATGCAAGTCCAAGCAGGACTCCAGCTGTTTTTTAATAATTGGGTTGCCGATTGCTTTTCAGTTATTTAATGAAAAACTATACAATTCAGGCATTTTTCTTCAACCATACTTCTCATTTATAATTGTACTCTCTGGAGTTGGTTATTAATTTGAGAAAGATACAATTATCTGGTAATGCAGGAGT